CCTATAAACAATTCTTTAATTTTCCTTGTTCTTATTGTGGACATAACAAAGTGCAAGTGTAATGAACCCTAAACCTGACTTGATTTTTTTTTTTTTTGGTGTAAAACTGTCAAGGGTAAGACCTTAGGTTTTTTTATTGCTAAGCTTGCATTTCTTTGCATTGTTTATAACATATGGATTGAAAGACATAATAGTGTTTAATTTTGTGTTTATAATATAGGTTCAAAAGCTAAGCGAGTACGAGGTCCGACAAGGGGTAAGAACACTAGTAGACTTATCACCCAACATGGTGGCAAGAAGCTTTTTGTTGGAGTTTCTAGTGAGCAGAGAACATTTGTGGGGCTTAATGCCACTAAGGCAACTAATGAATTGGGGGCACAAATTCGATTGCAAGCCCCATTGTAAGGAACAAAAAATTGGGAGAATGTTCCACCAGCTATTCGAGTAGCTATCGTACAGTCCTTGCGGGTAATTTAATTTTCAGTGTTGTTGATGTAAGTAGGTTAATATATATGATGTTTGATTACTCGTGTAATTATTTAATTGGGACATAATAATTTTGAGATTGAAGGATACGATGACGGCCCACTTGCACAAGAGGTTATTGACACAAAGTCCACAATTTTGTTCAAAGGCTAGCGTTATCATATGAATCAACGATAAAAAGAGTTGGTGAGGGTAGATACAGAGCCTTATAGTAAGCCATTCGTTGGGGTAGGCCAAGAAGATTGGAGGTACATGATTGATGATGTGTTTCTTGGTGACACACACAAGGTAATTAACTTAACACTCATCAATGTTTCTTCTAATTGCACCACAAATCACCATTATGCCTTCTTGTAATTGCACTACAAATCCGTGGATGTTTAAATTTCTTATAACTCAAACTTCCTAAGTTTCTTTGAAATTCAAGGAATGGTTGTTGATAGATACAATTATATATGTATGTATATATATAATGAATGAATGTGTGTTGTACAGTAAGAAATTGCAAAGAGAGGGAAAGAGTGAGGAAACAAGCACTTAAGCTATTTTTTTAAATTAATAATTCTATTGCATTGTAGGAATGGTAAAAAAGGAACACAAACAACAGAACAAAGTTTCCCTATAATCATACCATGGTTTCAAGATCACTTTCAATAGCAATCTCAATTGAGGTAACATATTTTTTTTTGTTTTTTTTTTTGTTTTAAGACTATTAGTTAATTCTGCATTTTTTTTTTTGATTAATAGTATTGCTAAGCTTGCATTTTATATTCTTAATGCAGGGAATTGAAAATGGCAAGAAGCCTCACATCATAGATTTTTACAAGACCTCACATTGGAGTAAGAAAAAAAAAAAGGATTGAACTAGTTTTTGGGGTGTTATATGTAAATATACCTTCACTATATTTGTTATTCATATTCCTATATAATGGTTAACTAGTTAGTGTACTTGTAAAATATACTAATTACTAGGTTTTTTTATTTTTTTGTTTTTTTTAATTGTCAAGAGAAGAGCTCAAGATATCAAATACTTAATACAGTGACTAACACAGTAAGTTTATCAATTAGCTATGACAGTTAATTTAAGATGAATAGCACAATATTTATTATAATTGATATAGCAAGACTAAATGAGGGAAAATTAGTGAAGTAGCTAATTGAAAACACTATGAATGATTTTTGATTTAACAAATTAAGATTTGAATATGCAAGCAGTGGCTTCAAAAGATTAAGATTTGGAGCTGTTGTGGGCTTGATTCAGTACATGTTTGAGCACCAATTACACTGCCAATAAGTTAGGCTTGTGGCTTTGAATTTTGAGAAGCCTAAGAGACATTTTATCAAATAGTTTGAAGGCAAGAAAAAAAAAAAAGAGTGTATTCAACGGAAAGGATTCCATACCCTGTATTCAGCTTTTGTCCCATCTTCATTCTAAAAGGAAAAGAAAATGACTAAACACATTAACAAACAAGTAATGAACAAGCATGATTACTCAATAGTCAGTTAGAAAAGTGTCACCTTCGTCAATCAAGAAACAAACATAGCAAGTAACTAAAAGAATTATAACTCAAGGCGAATGAAAGTCCAATGTAAATCAATAGCTATGAAATTACAGAACCCTAACTTTCAGTACAAAAGTATATCAAACCCCCATAGTGTACAAAAGTTTGACCTCAAATCTTCATCTTAAGATGGTAGTTATGGCTTAAATGTGAATTATAGGCACAAGAATATAAAGTACCACCTCAAACAACAACTATATTGCACACTGTGACACAAACTAGTGACCCAGTTGATCATTTGTGTTTAATAACTAGTGCTTCACACACAGCAGTTTCAAAAAGCTAAAAAAACTATACCATTATATTTCCAACTTCACAAAAACAATATAAAAATAATCTTTCACCAAATCATTTCAACATTTACCTGAATAGAGATCCTCTTCTCGCTGTAGACGGCTTCACCAGGGACCATATTCTTGGTGCAAAGCGCATCTTCTTTACCCTTAGCAATGAACACTCCTTCATGTCTATGCGGCTCAACCACGACCTTACTCCCCCCCTTCATTCCTCCTCTTCCACCGCCTTGGCCTCTGTTGTCCCTTCCTCCGCCGTCGCGGCCATCGCGATCTCTCATTCCATTGCCTCTATCGCCTCCTCTTCCTCCACTACCAAAACCTTCCCTTCCTTGTGACGGTGGCGGGCAACTCTCTATAGAATGAGAGAAAGAGAGATGAGAGAGGATGAGAGAGAAGAGTAAGTGCGTGAGATATTTTATATAGATGGTTATTGGCGACTAAAATTTTTTAGTCGCTGAAGTATTTTATAAATCCCTCCAAAAAGTTTAGTTATGTGGAGACTAAAATTCTTTTTTTGTTGCTGAAAATAAACTTTTGGCGACCAAAATTTTGGTAGCCAAAGGAAAAAAATAATTTTTTATTTTTCATTCGGTGGCTAAATGGTTTTAGTAGCCAAAACTCAATATACGGCGACTAAAATTCTTTTTTGTCGTGAAAAATTAACTTTTGGCGACCAAACCAAAGGTAAAAAAAATAATTTTTCATTTTCCATTCGGCGACTAAACGGTTTTAGTAGCTAAAGCTCAATATATGGTAACTAATTTTTTTTTTTGTTACCAATTTTGTTATTTTTACCGACAAATTGACTAAAATTCTTTTTTGTCGTGAAAAATTAACTTTTGGCGACCAAACCAAAGGTAAAAAAAATAATTTTTCATTTTCCATTCGGCGACTAAACGGTTTTAGTAGCTAAAGCTCAATATATGGTAACTAATTTTTTTTTTTGTTACCAATTTTGGCATTTTTACTGACAAATTTTTTTTTAGTTGCCAATAACCAATATACCCCAACTAAAAAAAATTAGTACCTAAATATTTTACTTTTGCCAACTAAAAAAATTTTTGGTCGCCAATTCCACAACTTTTGGCGACTAAATTTTTTTTAGTCGCTAATTTTGGTCATCAAAGGTGCATTTTGTTGTAGTGTTCATTGTCTTTCTAGATGTTCAAATGTCTCTGCTAATTTAGTTGCTACTCCTAGATTTTGCTTTTCTTATAATCATTTATGAGCATTGGTAGGTGGTTGTATATAGTGTTTCTTGAATTGGGTTTAAGAGTGGTTCTTGTATTTGATGGTTTTAGTATTGTATTATATATCTGGTTCTCTCTCTGTTTTTTAGTTTGTTATTGATTAGTGATGGACTTTGAAAGGTTTTGTGGGTTGCTATTACCATTTACTATCATGATGGTAATAATTCAATTTATTGTTGCGAAATCATCGTATCTATATGGATTTCAGATTTTGATTGACTGTAACAAATTTGAGTAAATTCTATAACAAATCCATAACTGATGTAACTCATCATAGCACTAAGTGAAATGGGCAATTACTCTTTGGGCCAAATCCAACCTCCCAAGCTTCTCTTACTCAATGCGTGACATTGTCCGCAATCTTAGTCAGATCATGTTTTTTGTTTAGTGTATCTGTGTTGCTGTCATTGCTACATTGTATCTGTACTACTGATGCTGTTGTTTTTTTTTCTGTCTCAGCCACTTGGCTGTTATCCCTTTGTTGTTGGTCCCTCACCAATAGATGGGCAAAGTGTAATTTACCCTAAGAATATTCACAGTTAAGGGAAACATACTACAAAAGTTTCAAGTTTTAAACAAATTTTTTTAAATAACTTCTAGACTCTTAAAGAATTAGTATTTCAGAGAAAACAAGGAATGAAATCTTGATACCTCTGTTGTCAAGGTGTTTTTACATGCATCTAATTAGGCAGTAATACATGAATCATAACTTCAAAAAGAAACTAAGATCCAGTCGTAGCAAATTATAGTTTGTGTCAATTTTCTTCACTTTGTCTTAGCATAAAGACAAATTACTTGCAATTATTGACTCTTCAATGGGAGTATGTCTGGCTACATGTATTTTCTTATAACTGGACTAACGATAAGAAACAAACCAAGAAAAAACAAATACCAAAGAAAAGTAATCGAGTTCTTCACTGTTTTCCTTTTTTAGCTTTAAAAATGGGAGAGAACAAGGAACTACTAGGTAATATGTGTGCTCCAAATAATGTACCTGAATTCTCCAATTATGTAGATTGTGCCCTCCAAAGCCTTTCAAAGGCATTACAACAGTCACTCTGGGCAGGTTGACCTGATTAGAGTGCTCAAGGGCATTAATATCATGAGAAATAAATGCAAAGCTATTGCCACCTCTCAAACTACTTTTCATCCTTCTAATCTCTCCACTCCTATCAGAAGACACAAAATGTTACAAAATCTAAAATTTCACATAGTAATTTTTCATCAAGATTCAAGGAAACTGATCTGGGAACTTAAAGCCACATTGTCACCCAACTTTAGAAATTAAAGCTTGATACCTAACATAAACAGCACAAGCCCACCCAAGAGCAGGTGTTAAGCAGATAAAATATCCCTATAGTACAAACAAAAGACACAGATTGGAACATGATCATGTTGCAACATCATGTTAGAGTGCATAAAAGCATGGGCAAAGAACATAAATTTGAAGAATAAGATACTATCACCTTACAAAGTAAGAAGAGTCAGTTATATTGTACATTTATTTGGTCCATAAACATTATCATTTTCAAAATAATAAAAAATAAATCCATACCTGACCATGAAGTAAATAAAAAGAAAAAACCAACAACATGCCCATGTAATCCAATGTGTCCTGTAATATTCTTCTAAATTGAGATCTATTAAAATTCATGATGAATCTAGTGGCTATGAAATGGTTGATATCTGTGCAACTAATCCTATAATAGCAATACTATCTTTAGCTATATTCATTGCACCAACACATGACGACCAGGGCACCTATAGGCAGCAGCTTGTTCAAAATTTTTTTTATCATTGAAGTCTCCTTGTCAGGTAGTTCATACCTATGTCAGCCAGAATACCTTTGTCATCATCATTGTGATACTTATTGAGATATACCAAAGTAAATCAAACTTTTAAAGAAAGTTCAAGGACTAAGACCTTACAGATTTTGTTTTACAAGTAACGACAACTAACCTCATCTAGTGAGGTAAAAGGAATAAAATCAAACAATTGCTAAACCTACAAAGCTACCTCTTGTCTTACCTAGTTATTTTCCTTATATACGAGAGCAGATTCTATATGAGTCCATCCTTAAGAACCCAACTTGGTTGTGAATTACAAAGTACAAGATGGAAGAATGACCCCACGCCTTTTCCCAATTAGTCATGAATGAGAATTGCATTATCAGCTAAGAGCCAGCAAGCAGAATTCTAAAACAAAGCCCTTTACCATTTTAAGATGATCAAAGCTAATCATTTGATCTCTAGGAACTACATCAAACTTTCATATTCTAAAGTGTTTGGAAATAATTTTTTGTAACTTGAAATCTTTTATGCTACTACCTTCCTAGGCTGTTTTTTGTTCACTATTTTTCTGTTCACTCCATGCTGTATTTTTACCTTTTGCTGCTTTAGATGCGCCTCTGTTTTGCTGTTCGGAACCTCTCCAAAGAGGCTGAACAAGGATGCTATCTTTGTTTGTGTTGATGTCTATGTTATAGTGCATACATTAAATTTTTGTATACATTTCTGTACTTTTTGTGTTGATCTGCTTGTGTGAAAATTACTTAGTTGGTTCTTGGTTTAGTCACTTGTATATAATTTATTGTTTTTCCCATGCATATAACCATAGCAAATAAATGATACGTTTATCTAACATAACCCCTACTTTATAGGTGATCAAATTTGGACCAGAGTTAGATGTCCATTAGAAATAGATTGAGTTCGGAGTATAGAGAAGGGTTAAGTCATTTCTCTAATTTCCAATGACAAATGTTAGTCTAGATAATAGAATTCATTGTCTGTGTATGGATTGCCTAAATTTTGAACGTCATACCATTAAGGATGTGGAATATCATTTGATCCGAAAAGGGATGTCGTTTTCATACAAAACTTGGGTGCACCATGGGGAAACTGTTCTAGTCATTCAACCTCATGTATGGAATAATGACAATGAGTTGAGGGTGTTAGTGATGCAGGGACAACCAATGAAAGCCTTGACCTTGAAGATGAATTGAGTGATATGTTAGAAGACCAATGCATGCTGAATATTTTTGATGATGATGATGAAAAGGATGAGAGGAATGATAACGAGCAAAAAGAGGATGCATGAAACTTTGATAAATAGTTAGAGGATGCTCAACGTTTGTTATACCTTGGTTGTCAAAAGTTTACTTTGTTATTGTTTATCATTAAGATGCTTCACATGAAAGTGTTAAACAAGTGGAGCAATTTTCGACATATTGTTGGGTGTATTGAAAGACCTTTCACCAGAAAGTGACCAAAAGGTTCTGTGGACTCTTTATGAAGCCAAGAAATTTTTGCGTGACTTGGGTTCAGGATATGTGCCTATTCATGCATGTAAGTATGATTGTGCTCTTTTTGGAAGGAAAATGCAAATTTAGAAAATTTTCGAATTTGTAAGGAGCCTAGATACAAACTGAATGATGGCAAAGGTAAGAAGATCCCTCATAAGATTTTGAGATAATTTCCATTGACACCGAGTTTGCAAAGATTATACATGTCTAGAAAAACTGCTGCAGATATGAGATGGCACAAAGCAAAACGTGTTGATGATGACATATTAAGGCATCCAGCAAATGGTGAGGCATGGAAGGACTTTGATGGGCAACATACTGTGTTTGCCAAATAATCACGTAATGTGAGGCTAGGGTTGGCCACCGATGGTGTCAACCCTTTTGGAAATATAAGCAACTCATATAATATGTGGCCTGTAGTAGTTATGCCTTATAACCTGCCACTGTGGAAGTGTATGAAACAACCATTTTCCATGATGTCATTGCTAATTCCCAGACTGCAAGCACCAAGGAGAGATATTGATGTTTACTTGATGCCATTAATTGACGAATTAAAAGAGTTGTGGAAAGATGGTGTAGTTATATATGATGCCTCAACTAGGGCAAGTTTTCGAATGCATGCGATTATTATGTGGACTATTAATGACTTTCCTGCTTATGGTAACTTGTTAGGGTGGAGTACAAAAGGATATTTGGCTTGCCCCAATTGTAATAAGAATACATCATCACAACGGTTAAGAAGTAAGATAGGATACACTAGTGCTCGCTGATACTTGCCTCAAGACCATCCTTGGCAAAAAAGTAAGCTCTTTAAT